GGAAGGAAGGAAGGAAGGAAGGAAGGAAGGAAGGAAGGAAGGAAGGAAGGAAGGAAGGAAGGAAGGTTGGCTAGACTTGCAAGTTGCTATTATTTTGATAATTATCTAATGGAAAAAAAATAATGCATTTGCAGCCTCAGAGTAATTGCTCAGTGTATTTCACAGAATCAGAATCACAGAATGGGTAAGGCTGGAATGGGCAACCAGAAGTCCTCATTTAGATGCCTTGCAAGTAAGAGATATCAGGAAAAATAAGTAACATGCTGAGCTAAAAAATAATTTTGTTTGGGATTTGAGTTTATTGGAGAATTTGAGAATACGAACACCTAAATCTCATTGCAACATATTTGAGGTATTGATCATAGGTTTGTTAAAAATTGAGAGCTGTAATTCTAATCCTTCTCTTAATCACAGAATTATAGAATGGCTTGAGTTGGAAGGGGCCTCTAAAATAATCTAGTTGCCATCTTCCCTGCACACCTTCCACTACATCAGGTTTCTCAGAAGCCCCATCCAACCCAGCCTTGGATAGCCTTAATGGATATTTTCCCTCAAGATTCAACAATTTTAGAAGACCTTTTTGGATTGGGTTTTTTTTACTATGAACTAACCTGTGCCTCTTGTGTTAAAACCAGCTCTATCAACTGGCCAAAATACTGGGCAACGGTTGTGAGTGTTTCATTAACACAAGATTTCATGGACTTCAGAATCTCTTTATCTTCTGTCTGTAAGCACCTGAAAAGAAAGAGATGGGAAAGGGATGAAGGAAAAAAAGATGTAACAGACCTGATTGTCAGAGGTGAGGCCTATGTTAATCACAGGATATGACTGGAATTCAGCTGTTCACAAGGAGTTTGTGTCATTAGCATCATTCCAGACTTCAATCAAAGCTTTGTCTACACAGAGTAAATATACCATGAAAGGATAACAGTGGACACTACTGAATAATTTTGGGATGACAATTTACCTCACAGACTGCAGGTCAAATTTTGCTGCAGATGCTGTGTGTTTATACAGTGCAACACTGCTCTTTTCCTCTTATGTTGAAAGTTTCACTCTTGGGTGCTTGCATTTCAACTGCAGCTGTGCATATCCACCCATCTTTCATGATCAATGAAGGGCTTTTAATAATTTTCTTTTCTTTACCTTCTTTGTCATAGTTTAATGATAGCAGGATAAGGATGAAGAAAGAAATGTGTGTCCAGATGAGTTAAACAGCATAATCAAAAATTGAATTTAGCCCTCCATACAGAAAGATACCTTTACAGAGTTGGTACAGTTATCCTGTAACCAGTGATGTTTGGCTATAATTGAAGAAATTAGATGAAGATGGAAAACTTTATATAATTCAAATAAAATAATGAATACTTCCTCACAGAAACACATTAATTTGTATTGTCAAAACATCTTCCACCCAGGTAGGCCACTGTAATGGAAGATACAGTCTGGAGGATCAGCCTCTCTACACAGGTCACCTTTTGAGCTTCATCTGTCTGTCAGCCACCTATATAATTTTTTTATCAAAATGACAAGAAGGGAGAGGGCTGACTTGGGACAGACAATTTGAGATTGAAGCTCATTATTAAATCAATGTGTCTCATAGTGAAATATAAAACACAAAGTGAGTGGTGTGGGTTTGCCAAAAAGCAATAGTTCTCCAAAAAATGTTATTTCCGGATAATTGGATCTTTTTTTCCCTGATGATATTCTCAAAATAGATTGACTTGCACAATGTTTAAAGTAAACCAAAACAGAGTGATTGAAATGTACTGGAGGAAATGGGTAACTTATGTTAGAAAGTGGAAATAGCATGAGAAGAATTACGGAGATTTTTGTTTTCCAGTCTCAGCATTCCAGGGTGCAGGGAGATGAATAAACCTATACCTACAATTTAAAGGAATGTATCTTTACTTTAGTTTGATTTCCAATGCATGGATGTGCTCATACAGGAACACAGAGTATGAGCCTCAAAACCCAAGTTTTCACACCATCTGAGATCCCAACTCCACAGAACTAGAAGGGAACTTTGTCACTGATATCTGTCACAGCCAGACTTTCTCCCTTGATGTCTAAAAGTCCTGAAAAATCCACTTGCATGCAGCTTTGCACCTATGTCAGACTCTTTGTGCAACAGCAGGTCCCATCTTTCATTAGGATGCCATTTAGATAAAAGCAACTCCATGCACTGGAGATTTAGACATTTAGACATTAGACAACATTTAGAAAGCCTTGCAGCAGCACAGCAGCCTAGTTCAAAAAATTAAGTGTGCCTATGGATTTGTGCTTCTCATTAGAAGTTCTACAACATAATAAAACACCAAAATTAATGTTTCAACTACAAAATTTAAGTTACCTTTCTGTGAATGCTGTAAATTCTGAACACTTGTCTATTAAAAGCTTTTCAAGCTGCAGAGAGAGAAAGATAAAGTGGTTTTAAAGTTATATCCATACACACAATTGCTTTACAAAAATAAATAATCCTTGTTTGTTAATCAAAAACCCTCTCGAAACATAATATTTCATATGATCACCCTTCATCTACTCTTCTGAATAAAACAGGTAGAGATAAAACCGAGGTTAACAAAAAAGTATAATTTTCTGTATTTTAAATGCAAAGGAACTCAGAGATGGGGTGCCAAAATACTTAGTCCTCAAAAGCAAAACATTATTTCCATGCAATTTGTCAACATTATTAACATTCAGAACAGCTGACGATAAAATAGGACCCAAAGTAAGTCAAGAATATTTCCGTTGATGAAAAGGGATTGGAAAGTCTTAAACCGGGGACCAGTATCAGTATGCAAGAATTTTTGACAGATTGTTTAAAGCAAGTTTTAATTATTACAATAAAATAAAAACTCATAAAGTGATAGAAACATGACATCACAGCTAAGGCATCTTCTCACCTGGTGCATTTCTTCTGAAGAGCTCCTGGTGAAGGTGTTGTACTCGTTTATCATGGAACGCACGTGGCAGTTGACTCTCACCGTCATGCTGTGCACCCTCTGCCACCTGTTCTTCTCCAGCTTCTGAGCAATCCTGCTCAGCTCGGTGCTGATGATCCAAGCTCTCTTCAGCAGAAGCTGCAAGTTATCACAAGTGCTGTGCTGTGAGGAAAGGATGAGTTCATTTTGCTCATCCTTCTCAATGCTGATGGGCTTGGACTGGAGAATGCACATACATTCACAGTCTGTCATCAGCTTCAAGTCTTCCATCCATCGCTGAACAGAGTCCACCTGGATTAGGTGCAGGCTGGAAGGCAAAGAAGGAGAGGGAAGAATGAGGAAAAGCGAAACAACCTTAGAATAACCACCAGTAGCACCATACAGCTGCACTCACTACTAGGTTGCAATTGGTTGACAAAAGGCAAATAACTGAACAAACAGCTTGCTTGCAGTAACACAGTGACACATTTAGCTTTTCACTCCAAAAGCAAGTTCTGGATTTCTAACCCCTTTCATGCCACATACTCTGTTATAAAATGATACCTGAAAAATCAGTGGATATTAGAGATAAGTAAAAAGAAGTTTTGATTATGTTTTTTGGGGAAAATGTTTCTTGTACATTCCGAGTTTAAGATGGGAGAAGGAGCAAAGTTATGGGTGTTTACTTGTTGTTTATGGGACTATCAGGTTTTTCTAGACACTTGGCCTATCAGGTGCTTAAAATAAAATTTTACCTTACAGCATCTCTGCAAAGCCCTTCCAAACTTACACAGCTGAACCAAGACACTGAACAACACTGCCAGCAACATCTATTTGTTCCATGTCACAATTCCTTAAACTTCAGCTGGATTCTACTTCCTGACCAGACCTTTACCTTCCCCCTTATTTCTCACTGCTCTCTGTACAGTTTGCACACTGACTTCCAAAGCACATTTTTTACACTACAACAAATATGATGTGAACCAGTAGGGCTGAAAAGCTCCTTGACAAGTGTAGCCTGACACAAGGGCAGTGAGCCTGCACTTTGTGTCCTTGCACCCTCCAGCCAGTAAAATGTGCTACATGAAGCAGAAGTTGCACGGATTCTGAGCTCATTTTTTGAGGAATCGCAAATTTCATAGTCTTGAGATGAAGATGCCTAAATTTTTTTCTTTTAAGGCACCAGATCCTAATAAAAATACCTTAATTCTCACCCAAACCACACTAAAGTTTTCCAAATAATTGAAAATGAAAGGTAGAATTAGATCAAGTGAAAACAAGAGAAAATGGATTTAAATATTTTTTTCTGGCTTATATTGGTATCCTACAGTTAATATGACAGTGTAATAGATTCTTGTCTATCTTCTGTCAACCTTTCCAATCTACATGTTCAGATTTTATGATGCTATACCAGAAAGGGCCAAAAGAAAGTTTGTATTATAGACCTTATTCTTTTAATTCAGATGCTGATTAATTGCAACTCAGCAACACAGCAGTAACGTTCTGTGCTGTTATACAAGCCATACTGCTAGAACAAAATCTGCAATTACATTAGCTAAGGAGGACCAGGTGGAAGCCTTTTTCAATTCTTGTGCTTCCATTTATACAGTGAGCACCAGCTGAACTCAAGAAATCTCCTGCCAGATCAGACCAGTAATATTCCATAAATAAACAAAATGCATTTGCATACACAGGAAAAGGAGGCTCACCTCAAATATTGTTTCATGTAAATTGACAACAAACAAGATACAAGAGATCAGTTTCATTGATCCAATCTCCCTTTTTACAATATATGATGAAACTACTTTTAATTTTGAACTTTGCAGGCTATTGCTATTTAAGGTCTTTATTTCACTCAGCTCTGAATATTGTGTAATTGCATTTCATGATCGATTGAGGCCCACTTTCTTCTTGCTATGTGTAGTCTCCTTATTGCCTTTTTGGATCTGAAGCAAGGTTTCCTAATAAACAAAAACAACAACTTTAGAAGTTTGAGACCATGATTTATAACCATGTGCATAGTTTGCATGCAGAACAGGATAAACTCATTTGACACAGAGTAATGTATCTTTCATTTCCAAAGTGCACTGTGACAATTAATTAAATCTCTGTTTAGTAAGTAGAAATAAACTTCTACATTATAAATTCACATGGACAAAAAACTAGAATAGAAAGTTAGTGAGGAAAAAAAATGAAAAAATAAACAACAAAAATGTAATTTGTATTTCCTTTAGTCCCAAAAGCCATTCTACACTCTAAGGAGAAAAAAAAGGTAATAAGAATTATACAAGAAAAAAAAAAAAAGAAAAAGAAAAAGCATAGATGTTAAAGAAACTCTCCTTGTTTGCTTCTGTTCCTACTAGTTGCCAGAAGTACAACTGTAGAATGTAGGATATTCTTTCACTAAAACTTAGTATTCTTTAACTGACAACAAGAGCAAAAAATAATACCATTAATCTCCTTCTAGAGGGCCAGAAACAGAAACCAGGACCAGAAACAGGACAGAACAGAAACAGGACCAGACAGAAAACTTCCCCTGCTAAATATGTCAGCTTTTCTGACACATTGTCCTTTAAATTAGACACACATCATTATCACTTGAATGAAATACATAAATAATTCACCTTCATCCAAATCTCACTGTAGATTATTTAGAAAAAATTTTCTTGAGCATTCTGCAGATGAATTTGTAGGCTCATTTTTTACATATTAAAATGAGGAAAGCAAAAAAGTATGATCATCCCTAATTAGCTATTAAGAATCATATTCTAGATGGTATTTACTGAATTCAAAAAAACAAGTTGGAAATTTCCATTTTGTCTCCCCATTACTGAAAAAAAAATAAAAAATCTATGCCTACAAAATAAAAACAACCCTAATGGTTCAGACAAAAAAAACCAAACAAACTCTGTTTAGCCCATTATCCTGGTCCCAACATGCCCATTAGGAGATGCATAAGGAAAGATTATAAGAAGTGTGGCAAGAGCTGAGCAACCCCTCCTTCCCATCTTCTGGCAATTAGTGGTTTAGGAACTTCCTCAGCCAGAAGTTGTGTCTGAGTAGGATGCTTTTACAATTCATGAAACAAAAGTAGCCATTAATCCCTTTTTGAACTCAGTTAAACTTTTGGCCTTTGCAACATCTAGTGGCAGTGTCTCACATTGTTTATTGTTTTGTAGGAAAAAGTGTTTCTTATTGTTTATTTTAAACTTGCTGCCTGGAGATTTGTACACAGTTTAGTTGCTATATTCTGAGATTCTGCAAATGAAATTATGGTTCTGTATACACCCTCTTCATGCAATTCATTATTTTGTTTGCTCTATCCCATCTTCTCTATGTTATCTTATTTCCATGGTATAGAAACTCAGTCTATCTAGTCTGTCCCCTTATAGACAGTATTCCAGCCTTCTGATCATTCACTTACTTTTCAAAAAGCTTTTTTGTAGTTTCCCTATGTCCCAAGATGTCATGGGGAAAACAGGACACAATGTACAAGATTTGGGTAAATTTATACATTTGAAGCACATCTTCTGGACAGTCCCTATTTTCCAACAATTCTTAAATTTATTTCTTTTTTTTACTAAAACATTTTCCAGAGAGCTGTTTCATTTTTACCTTTCTGAAAATACACTTATTTTGATTTCAGAATTTTTTCCATGAGTGATAATACATAATATAGAGTCCAATATACATGTGAAGAAAGAAATTGTGCTTCAGTTCCCTTTACCTCCTCACATGTACTACTTTATGTTCATTAACACATAATTTCTTCTAGCATTTTACAGTCTCATATGGTCCTGCTTTTACAACTATTTTTCAGGTCATTAAATACATTAAACAAGTTTTTATCAAGCATAAGAGACCTTATTTCTGTGATTTCCCACAGTTCTAATTTGGCAAAAGTATCTGGTAACTGGTTCAGACCCTTATGGTCATAGAGTTATAGAATCATTTAGGTTGGAAAAGACTTCTAACACCATCAGGTCCAACCATTAAACCAGCACTGCCAGGTCCATCACTTAACCCTGTCCTTAAGTGCCACTTCCACACAGCTTTTAAATACCTCCAGCAATGGTGACTCAAGCACTTCCATGAGGAGCCTAATCTAGTGCTTGACAACACTTTCAGTGAAGAAATTTTCCCTAATTTTCAATATAAACCTCCCCTGGGTTTCTTTGGGGTCATTTCTTCTTGTCCTATCGCTGGTTATTTGGGAGAAGAGATCAGCCCCCACCTTGCTCCATCCTTCTTTCAGGCAATAATAAAAAGAGACATGTTCCTCCTCAGCCTCCTCTCCAGGCTGAACACCCCCAGCTCCCTCAGCTGCTCCTCACAGGACTTGTGCTCCAGACCCTTCCCCAGCTTTGTTCCCTTCTCTGGACTCTCTCCAGCCCCTCAATGTCCTTCCTAAACTGAGGGGCCCAGAACTGGGCACAGCACTCCAGGTGTGGCCTCACCAGTGCCCAGCACAAGAGACAATCCCTGCCCTGCTCCTGCTGGACATATTCATCCAAGCCATGAGCAGCCAGTTTCTCCAGCAGAATGCTGTGGGAAACAGTTTCAAGGTCTTTGCTGCAGTCCAGGCAGATAGACAAGAGCCTTTCCCTCATCCACTAAGTGGGTCGCCTTGTCAGAGGAGGTCAGGTTGGTCAAGCAGGACCCGCCTTTCCTGAACCCCTGTCTGATCCCCTTGTTGTCCAGGATGTGCTGCATGATGGTACCCAGGATGAGCTGCTCCATGACCTTCCCTGGCTCTGAGGTCAGGCTGACAGGCCTGTAGCTCCCTGGATGCACCTTTAGGCCCTTCTGGAAGACAAATGTCACACTGGCTAAAAAGCAATCACCTGGGACCTTTCCATACAGAGAGACGTGCTGGTAAATGATGCAAAGTGGCCTGTCACTAGTGGACATGAAATAGAAGTGTGGATTGAATCACAGCAGACAGAGGTTTTCATCCAAAGAAGGCTTTATTTGGGGTTTCTCAGCCCCTTTTACAAGGTGTTCTGATACAGGTTTAACATGATTGGTAAAGGGAACAACACCTCTCTTGTCCCATTTGTGGAACAAGAGAAACACATTCAGTACATCTGTACACCACTGTTTTGGGAACCAAAAACCCATTTACATAAAACAATCCTTGAGAGAAAACTGTTCTCAAGAAACTTTCCCCTGGGAACAGATCAGCCACTGAGAGGCTGAAAACTCTCTCAGACTCAGAAAATCATGCCCACAATGGCCCAGTGAGCACCTCTACCTGGGCCCTCAGTACCCTTTGGAAGATCCCATCCATCCTGTAGACTTTTGTAATCATTTCCCTTTGGAATATGG